TACTGCTGGTACATGTCGTCGCCGATGTCGGAGAGCAGCTGGCTCACCTCGCCGGGCGCCGCCGCCTTCGCCTCCGCCTTGTCCCCTGCGCAGGGACACCGGGGACCTCAGCGTGGGGGCAGCTCCCCCCCCGTGGGGCGGGTCCCCCCGGTAGCCGTGGGGCGGGACCGCCGTACCGTCGTCGGGCGCGTGGTAGGCGGCGAGCGCGTTGAGCATGTCGTAGATGACGTCCTTGATGGGCTCGGGGATGACGGGCAGCGGCGCCGCCTTCACCGGCGTCGTCTTCACCAGCTGCACCGCGTTGGGGCCCTTGATGCGCAGGTTCTCGAACTCGTCGTCCGACGCTGCCCCGTCCGGCAGGAAACACGCGGTAATTAACCGCTCGTTAACGGGGGTTGGAGGACAGCCGGGCTGGGTGGGTGGGGGGGAGGGCTGGGATGGGCTGCACGGGGAGGCTCCTTTGTTGGAGGCCTCCAAAAACCCGCCTAGATGTGACTGGGTGCCCCGTGAGCTTGTGGAGGCTCCTTCTAGAGGTCCCCAAACCCATCTAGATGTGACTGGGTGCCCCATGAGGTTGTGGAGGCTCCTCTTGGAGGTCCCCAAACCCATCTAGATGTGACCAGGTGCCCCATGAGGTTGTGGAGGCTCCTCTTGGAGGTCCCCAAACCCATCTAGATGTGACTGGGTGCCCCATGAGGTTGTGGAATCTCCTCTTGGAGGTCTCCAAACCCATCTAGATGTGCCCAGGTGCCCCAGGAGGTCGTGGAATCTCCTCTTGGAGATCCCCAAACCCATCTGGATGTGACCGGGTAACCCAGGAGGTTGTGGAAGCTCCTCTTGGAGGTCTCCAAAGCCCACCCAGATGTGACYGGGTGCCCTATGAGGTTGGGGAGTCTTCTCTGGAGGTCCCCAAACCCATCTAGATGTGACTGGGTGCTCCACGAGATTGTGGAATCTCCTCTTGGAGATCCCCCAAACCCATCTAGATGTGACCAGGTGCCCCAGGAGGTTGCAGAGTCTCCTCTTAGAGGTCCCCAAAGCCCATCTAGATGTGACCGGGTGCCCCATGAGGTTGTGGAGGCTCCTCTTAGAGGTCTCCAAACCCATCTATACGTGACTAGGTGCCCCGTGAGGTCATGGAGGCTCCTCTTGGAGGTCTCTAAAGCCCATCTAGATGTCACCAAGGCGCCCCATGAGGTTGAGGAGCCTCCAAAACCCACCCAGATGCAACTCCACACTCTACCCATCCCTCCCGGAACGCCGGGACTCGGACCAGCCCACCTCGAGGCCCCTTCCAACSCAACGGCAGCGCGATGGGGCACCCGCCGTCACCCACTCACCGGTGCCGGAGCCGCGGGGCGCGGGCAGCGCGATGCGCACGCAGGCGGCCGCCACCTCGGCGAAGAGCTGGGGGCTGCGGCACGCGGCGGGGCCCAGCACGCGCAGGATGTAGTTGATCTCGCGCGAGCCCAGGCTGCCCGACACCACGCCGGACGTGGTGCTGCCCGCGCCGCTCGTCGCCGCCGAGCGCACCACCTGGCCGCGCACCCACCCGGAACCGCGTCACTGGGTGCCGCAGGTTGCCCCGGTGCCCCCCACCCACTGCCCCTATCCCCCTTGTGGCCCCCCGGTCCCAGGCGCCCCCGATTTTGCTGCCCCCCAGTTGCAGCCTCCATGGGGGCCTCCAGAACGCCCCATTCCCCCATCCTGCTGCCCCGGCCTCCCTTCCCGGAGCCTCCAAAATGCCCCAGCTCCCCCATTCTGTTGCCCTTATGGCCCAGCCTCCTCTCCCAGGGCCTTCATAACCCCCCAGCTCCCCTCCCAGGGCCTCCATCACCCCGCAGCCTCCCTTCCTAGGGCCTCCATCACCCCCCAGGCTCCCTTCCTGGGGCCTCTGTACCCTCCATTCCCACATCCTGCTGCCCCTACAGCCTGGCCTCCCTTCCCGGGGCCTCCATAACCCCCCAGCCTCCCCTCCTAGGGCCTCCATAACCCCCATTTCCCCATCCTGCTGCCCTTACAGGCCGGCCTCCCCTCCCGCGCCTCCATCACCCCTTAGCCTCCCCTCCCGGGGCCTCCACAACCCCCCAGCCTCCCTTCCTAGGGCCTCCATAACCCCCCATTCCCACATCCTGCTGCCCCAGCAGCCCAGCCTCCCTTCCCAAGGCCTCCATAACCCCCCAGCCTCCCTTCCTAGGGCCTCCATAACCCCCATTTCCCCATCCTGCTGCCCTTACAGGCCGGCCTCCCCTCCCGCGCCTCCATCACCCCTTAGCCTCCCCTCCCGGGGCCTCCACAACCCCCCAGCCTCCCTTCCTAGGGCCTCCATAACCCCCATTTCCCCATCCTGCTGCCCTTACAGGCCGGCCTCCCCTCCCGCGCCTCCATCACCCCTTAGCCTCCCCTCCCGGGGCCTCCACAACCCCCCAGCCTCCCTTCCTAGGGCCTCCATAACCCCCCATTCCCACATCCTGCTGCCCCAGCAGCCCAGCCTCCCTTCCCAAGGCCTCAATAACCCCCCAGCCTCCCCTCCCGGGGCCTCCATAGCCCCCCAGCCTCCCTTCCTGGGGCCTCTGTAACCCCCATTTCCCCATCCTGCTGCCCTTATAGAGCAACCTCCCTTCCCGGGGCCTCCACAACCCCCCAGCCTCCCTTCCTAGGACCTCCGCAACCCCCCAGCCTCCCCTCCCAGGGCCTCCATCACCCCCAGCCTCCCTCCCCGGGCGGCCTCCGCGGCGCCCACCTTCTCCATGGTGTGCCGCAGCGTGCAGGGGTCCTCGATGATGTGCCGGAAGAGGAGCGTGACGAGGGGCGTGAAGCCCGTGAAGCCCGAGCTCTGCGTGAGGCCCAGGATGGTGCGCGTGCTGCGCAGCTCGGCGAAGAGCAGCGCGTGCTGGTGGTGGCGCGTGAGGCGCAGGCAGAGGCGCAGCGTGGCGTGCAGCGTGTCGGGGTCCACGGGCACGGCCAGCATGCTCACGCAGGCGCGCAGCACCGCCGGCACGGCCTCCTCGGCGAGGCCGCGCACCGGCGCCTCTTCCTCCTCCTCCTCCTCCTCCTCGGCGGCCTCCTCGGCGCCCGCCGCTGCTGCCTCCTCCTCCTCCGGCTCTGCGGAGGACGCGGGGAGCGGGTGGGTGCTGGGCGGGCACCGGGCGGGTGCTGCCCCCCGGGGCCCCGGGCGTACCTGCGGTGGAGGCCGCGGCGCCGCTCTCCTCCTTGGCGCGGCCTTCGGGCTCGCGGCCTTCGTCCGGCGCCCGCTCGGCCTCCGCTGCGGCCTCCTTGGCGCCCTTGGCGGCCCGCGGCACCCGCAGCAGCGTCAGCATCACGGGTCGCCGGTTGCCGGTCTCCTCGTTGACCTGCGGGACGGGGCAGCGCTCGGCGAGGGCCCGGGGTGACGGGGACACCCGGGAGGGGTGACAGGGACACACAGGGGGGTGACGGGGACACCCGGGGTGGTGACAGTGACACACGCAGCGGGTGACGGCCCCCGTCCGGCTGTACCTGCACCATGGTGGTGAACTGCACGGTGTAGCGGCGGCGGCCGGCCGTGAAGCGCACGCTGCTCTCGCCGGCGCGCCACGCCGCGTCGATGGTGCTGTTGTTGCTCGCGCTGTAGCTGCACCAGCGGCCCGAGCGGTCGTCGAACCAGCGCCAGTTGTTGCCGTTCGCCTGTAGGTACTGGCGGAGAGGGGGAGGACGGGGGTCACGGTCCCGCTGCCCGCTTGTCCCCGGCTCCGGCACCGGCACCCACCTTGTTCATCTGCGCCCGGCGCTTGGACGACACGGCCGTTTTCTCGTAGAAGTCGATGAGCAGCAACACGGGCGTGATCCACCTGGGAAGGAGGGCGCGCCGAGCGTCACCGGGGGGGTCACCGCGTGTGTGGGTGTGTCCCCCCAAAAATACCCCTCCTCACTTGGGCGTCTGCACCTCCTTGTGCTCCTTGGCGGCCTGCAGGCAGGGCTGCACCACCTCGAGCAGCTTGATGAGCACGTCGAGGACGCAGCTGGACTCCACGACGCGGGCGCACGGCAGCTTCAGCTCCTGCGCGCGGTGGGAGGCTGCGTTGAGAGGTGCCGCGCTGCCCGGACGCCTGGGCCCTCCGGCGCGCCCGAGGAGGAGGAGGAGGAGGAAGGGGGGGGTGCTGCGGCGGCGGGGCTCACCTCGAAGAGCAGCGTGAGCAGCAGGATGCGCGTGGCCAGGTTGGAGGCCTGCGGCAGCGTGGCCATTTGGCTGATCCACTCGGACACCGTCTTGGTGTCGCTCGTGGTGAGCGGCAGCGCCGCCTTGATGAGCACGTCGGCCGCCTCCCACACCTGCGGGCGGGGAAAGCGGGCGCCGTGAGGGCCGCCCGGACGCCGGGGCCCCCTCTCCCCGGCTGCCCCGCGCTCACCTGCTTGACCACCTGCTTGAGGATGGAGTCGCGGTAGGCGGCCCCGTTGCGCTTGACGGCCGTCATGATGAGGTCGCACACGCGGTACACGGTGTCGGGCAGCTCGTCGAGCAGCTGCGAGCAGCCGGGCAGCATGGAGTCGGTGAAGGCGAGCAGCTCGGCGGGCTCGAGCGGCTCGGCGCCCTCGAACTTCTCCAGGCACTTGGCCTCCTCTTCCTCCTGGCGCTCGCGCGCCCGCCGCTCCTCTTCCTCCTTGCGGCAGGCGGCCTCCTGCGAGGGGGACGCGGGGTCCCGTCAGCGGCCGCGACGGGGACGGGGCGGCTCACGGGATGACCGTGGTGGAAGGGGTGATGGAAGCAGCGCTGGACACGAGGATGGGGACAAAGGGCAAGGCCAGGGACTGCGGAGGCCACACTGGCCTCCTCCTGGTCCCCACACAGCCTCCTCTAAGGGGGAC